AAGGTCTTTTATTTGATTCCAATCATATTCCGACAAAATGACTTCACATGCTCCTATAATAAAATCATTACAGAAATCTTTCAAACTTATTAATCGCTCTGGCATCATACAAATAGAGGACCAACGTGTTGTGCAATCTAATATTGCCATTTGCCTTTTCTTAATATTCTTACAATTGTGGGAGTTCTTAAATATTTTACTACATCCCTTTCTTTATCAATTATAGTTTTAAAGTGATTATTTTTTAGGGAATTATTAATAGCCAATTGTAGCGTATGGGCTGCACATCTGAGTATATTTTTGTGGAAAAATCTTTTATAATTTCCTGTAAATCAATTTCACTTATGTCCTCATAATTATCATCATCATCATCTATATCATCCATTACTTCCAGTGAACATTCATTTAATAATTTGATTGATTTTACTAGATTAGCACCATTATCCGTAGTAATTGTATAAACGTTTCTTATAGGAATATGAAATTTATTTAATGTTTCTAATATCATTCTTTTTATATTTTCAGAAGTTGAACTCTCTTTAATCTCCTTCACAGCTAAATTTTTTAATATATTATTTCCTTTTATATACTGTATATTTATTCCTACAATATTTCTCCCTAATCTTTGGGCGGAATCAATTTTTAATGAAATTAATTTGTTTTTTGTTTCTTTTATTATTTTCGCTTGTATTTTTTTCGATTCATTAACCACTAATTCCTTAATTTTAAAACGGTTAATTGATGTTTAGATGTTCCAATTAGAGGTCTGCATTGGGCGGGTTTTTGGACCAAAAGCCCGCCCATCTAATGCTTTGAAAAAATTTAACCCACCGCCCAGCCTGCCCATAGTTTTTAAAAAAATATACACCCGCCCGCCCCGCCTATTTGTCTAAAATTCCTTACTCACCCGCCCATTAGTCTAAAATTTTTTACCCGCCCGCCCATTATTTATAAAAAATTTTTAACCCAAGCCCGCTTATAAAATTTAATTATGGTCATTCTTTCATTTTTTTAAGCATCTAATAAAAATATTTCAGCATTACACCTCTACAAAAAGTTTATAATTTAGGAAATTAATATAAGTATAAAAATAATCAATGTAAATTATGGACAATTTATTTGATCAAATTTTATGAAAAAAATATAAAAATGTTTATTTATTCTAAGAAAAAAGTTTTATTGTGTTTATTACGTAATATAGTTAGGTAAATGTTCTTCACTTAAAAAAAAGATTGGTACAAAAAAAAAGAAATATTGTTATAGATCATTTAAACAATTATTTTTTTTAGTTTGTTTTTGAACAAAAATTTGAAATTTCCTTAAACCGCCTCCCCCATTGTTTAAATTTCTTAACCCGCCCGCCGATAGTTTCAAAATTTTTTTAACCCCCGCCCATCCGCCCACTCTAGTTCCAATTTCCTTACTAATAGGATCATTAATTTTTTTTAAACTAGATTCCTCAATAATATTGAAAGGTCTTCCATTTATTTTAACAAGCTCAACTAAAGCATTCATCAAATTCTCCTCAGACATTTGAATATGAATGCTTTTTTTAAAGCAAAACATTTCAATATTATTTTCATCCTTCTTTACAATACTGACAGTAGACTTTGTAACAATATCTTTTTCCAAAAATTTGGTTTTTCTATTTAAATATTCCTCAAAGATGATAGAATGATGTCTTTTTTTTAAATTAAAATTGCAGTACAAAATAATTCCAAATATTTCACTTACAAATCAAAATACTCAAAGTATTTCTAACAAGAGCAAATAAATTATCACAATTAAAATATTATTACTTGCACTACAAAATAATTCACTTTCAAAAAAATCAACGTATTTCTATAACATAGCATATTAATAAATTTACATAATAAAATATTATTACTTACACTAAAAAATAATTTATGGTATCAATTCTCTAAATAAAATGAAAATTTTTTTTTTTACATTGATCTATTTTTTTGTGTGTGTAGGGAATGTCACTGGCCCATAAAGGGGTGACATGTCCTAGTATGTTATGCATTAAAAGCATGTATTCACATTTAATTTTGTTAAACGTTTGGAAAATTATTATTATTATATGCAAAGAAAAAATGATAATTATATAATGTATATTTTTCGAGATATATTCAATTATTGAAGTTTTTAAATTTTAAAAAAATTCTTTTAAAAATTAATAAATTATGGAAGAAATATGATAATTTTTTACTATATTATGATTATTGGATTTTTCAATTTTTGATGATTTTTATTAATTAATAAAGTGAATGCATATATAATATTCAATATTCTTTCTACAATCTATATAACGATTCTTTTAAAGTGGTCATGTTGTAGTTTTGTATTTTTGTTATATATATTTATAATGATATATATGAAATGTCAATCAATGATCTTTTGAGTTTTGTGTTTTTTGAGAGGATTAATGAAAAGAAGAAGGTCACATGTTCTTTTGTTAATAGGACATGTCCTTTTGTTGATGGAATTTTATATGGATTTCTGAAGGGTGGTTTGTATATGTATGTTAATACTTAAATATGATTAAATATATTATACATTTTTTTAAATTATGATTGTATAAATATGAACCAATGATAATAAACTGATTTTGGTTAGATGTTAATATTATTGAATATGAGCGAACCTAAATAGATCACAAAATAATATTTGCTATTATTATCTTTAGTAATAATGGAAGAAGAAGAGAAACGATATCGGTATTTCACCAAAAATAAATATTTTACTAGATTCTAAAGCTATTGGAGCCCACATAGGCATTAATAAAACTCAATTAAAGCTCTTTGAAGGGTATTTATTATGGTGTTGGATTTGTTAATTTTTTGTTTATAGAGTTTGGTGGCAATAATAAAACCATTAATAATTAACTATAGAAAACTACCATGGATTAAATTATATCGATTTATTATATTTAAAATTATCGCGTCATATTTATTAATTAAATTAGAATATTCCATTCTTTTTTTATAAATATATAATAAATAACAATTTATTACATTTAAATAATAAATGACAACTTAACATTTAATACAAATTTATTACATTTCTTCCAAACATTTTTAAGTTAGATTTTCTCAATAAACCTCTTTGTGAGTTTACGGTTTCTTAATGAACAACATAATGCAGTATTTGTACCATGAGTCGGAATAGTTGAACGATCTCTTAGCTGATCTGCGTGTATCCGCAATGTTCTTTTGGGAGTTTCAACTAATGTTGTTAAATGGCTCGATTTGAGCCGATTTTTAAAAACGGCTAATTCAATATTTTGTCCAGAAAAATATTACCCAAGCCTGAAGATTTTGCTCATAGATAGCACAAAGGTTTAGACATCTATTAGCCAAATCTTGGGCCTTAGGCAGTATTTTTTTAGCTAAAATATTGAGTTAGCCGTTTTTAAAAATTGGCTCAAAATGAGCCGTTTAACAACACTAGTTTCAACAATATAAGAATATAACCCTGTCATTTCTTTAATCACTCCCTTTCTCCAACCTAAATTCCTATTCAGCTAATCCATTCGTTTTCGGATTATAGGATGTCGAAAACGTATATGTCGTAATTTAATTTACAGTACCGACGGAATTCCCCAGGTATGACTTGTGGTTCATTGTCTGACACAATTTACTTGGTTCCAAACCTAGCTAACCATTCTTTTTATGGATTAGCTTAGCATACAATAAGAACTTTGAAAGGTCGATATTACGCAACGAGAGAGTCAATTTCTGATCCAGGAGAAGCCTTGATACAGGTTTTAACAACATATCGATTGGGAGAGCATAGCTCTACAGAGAGATCATCTGCCAAGATTATGTTTAGAAGACAATTGAAAACTAGTTTGAACTAAATAAGATCAAATATAGAACATGAAATTGAAAAGGCAAATGAAATACAAAGTCAGAATCATGATTTACATTCGAAAAGGAAAGAATTCGTGATTTCACAACCTGTGGTTAAATAATGAGAAATCAAAGGTTGGAGAAAGGGGGTGGTTAAAGAAATGACAGGGTTATATTCTTATATTGTTAAAACTCCCGAAAGAGCATTGCGGAAACACGCAGATCAGCTAAGAGATCATTTATTTATTCCGGAAGTTACAGAAATAGTGGTGCAAGTAAATGAAGCAGGTGCAAATATTGCAAGCCACAAGAAGAAAATTATTACAAATAATGAGTTCCAAATAAAAATTATATAGGACATCAAGAATTGTAAAATAAATAAATTCCCAGATAAAATTATATAAAAGAAAGAATTAAAATCATTTTTATAATCATTCAAATATATTTAAAACTAATTTAAATAAATTTTTTACAAATCGAAAATGGCCACGTGATGAAAAAATATATAATGAAAAAACATTTTACAAATTTAATAGCCGCCAATATATTTGAAGCGCTGAAAATTTAAATATCTTACAATTTTAATGGCTGCCAATATATTTGAAACGATAACATCTCTTAAATAATCAATACGGTATTTAATCTACAATGATGATATCACTACGGTATTGAAGCTACAATGGGTATTGATTTCACAATCCTACACCGGCTCGGATTTTTAACATTATTTATTTTCCCAGATTTTTAAATAATTTTGTCTATATTTTGTAAATGTTCAAGGGAAAATTGAAAGTATGAAAAAGAAAAGGAATATTTAATGTTTTATGATTTATTAATTTGATTATAATTTAAATGTATTTTAAAAAATTTGATTCTACTCGGGTTTTGTAAAAAATAATATTCTTAGACCCAGTACTCGTTTGAAAATTTTTAAGCCCGTCCTAATATAAAATACTACTATTTTATTACCCTAGACCCAATATACAGGCCCTGTCTGCAGGTCTTTGATAAAAAGTAATTACGGTTTGCATAAATGTCATGGCAAAGAATGGACGAGCTTCTCAAATATTTTCGATTTTTTAAATTTGCCTTTCAAAACTTAAAGCCAGTTCCCTAATAATAATCTAAGCTATTTTATATTATCAGGAAGCTCAAAATTATGCCAGCGAAATGAATTTAGAATCTTGTGCGATAAATATGGGGGTGGATAAAATGGCTCGTTATCCCAAATTACATTTCGCGGTGTCTTCGATGCTCTCCAAAAAGGCTTTAAATCCTGCCGATATTACTCTGGTTTATATTTTTCCTATAATTAAGGACTGAGAAAATTTTATTTTAAATCATAATTTTTTCCCGGAGATACATCGATACCACTTTTATACTGATATCGATATAATAACGGGTGCCAAGCCGATATCTAGCATCGATAGTTTAGTTTAAAAAAAATCTTTCAAAATAACCAATTTCAATTAAATTCATAATTTAAAAAAAAAATATATTATAAAATTATGATAAAATAAAATATAGACTATGAATTTCATATTTTTCTTTTCGTAATGATTATGTTCCTTTTTTTATAAAAGCTTCATTGGGAAAATATAATCAAATTTTTATTTCTTTGAGGAGAACGAAAATGCAATAAAAGCAGTTTTTTAAAAAAAATTAAATATCCGTTTGAAAAAACAGGGAAGCGCTAGATAATTTTGTTATTATTTTATAAAATAAAAATGGTCTTCTCTAAAACTATGTCCACATCAAAAAACTAAATTCACAAATTTTCGAAACTTTAATAAAATAAATTAATAAGCTATATTATTAAATATATAAAATTCTGCTAATATAATTCTAGAAAATTTTATAATTAACATACGATTTCATTAAAATTTGCAAAAGTTTTCAAATTTTTTTAAGGTTTTAGATATTGTCTAAAGGATTTTTAAAAATTATAATAATATCCTATATATTTTTTACATTTAATCAAAAATTTATTCATAACCTTTAGAGGATTTAATAATTTGGTTTCTTTTTATGATTTTGGCTAAGTAAAATTAATATCGATCCTGGTTATCCGTGCTAGAGGTCTACATTGAACGAGTTTTTAGCCCGCCTGCCTATATTTCGGACGGGCATGGTTGGGTTTTCTAAAATATTATCAACATTGACCGGGTGGTGGGAGGGTTATAAATTTTAAGTATTGGACGGGTAAATTTTTAATATTTAACAGACGAAATGAGCAGAACTGACTTTAATTTAATAAAAATAATAGTTTTATTTCATAATATTGCATATTATATATGTTTAATCAAAATTACATGAAAATAAATGAATAAAGAGCCAAACCATTAGAATAATTTTTAAACATTAGGCAGGCGGGCGGGTTAAACAAAATTTAGATAAATGGACGGGCGGGCGGATTAATGTTTAAATAAATTCTAAGTAGGCGGGCAGGTTAAAAAATTTTCAAACAAAGAGTTGGCTGGCTTTTTGGCTGAAAACCCGCCCATTGAAATTAGAATTGGTTTTTTGACCCTCTAGTAACTGGGTAAATTATTGAGATTTAAATTTTTTCGTTTATGCTTGTAAAATATTTTTATTTTGGTTACAATAAATATATAGCTCTATAAATTATTTATATCCAACGATGCCCCGCCTTCAGAAATGATCAGAAATCCTATTTTTTTAGGTATAATAATTTAAAATTATTTTTTAATAAAAATTTTATTTATTTATTTTCTTACTTTTAGAATTGTTAGTGGAAGCATTATTTAAACCACAATACTTAATTAATCCTGATCACAAACATAAATACATATATCTTCTCGCCTATGCCGTCAGTGTATACGAGGTTGATTATTTTTTTGACCCCATTTTTTTTATAATCGAAAATTTTTGATATAGCAATCGAATGAAAATGGTAACATCATTATAAAAAAGGAAGAAATGAAACCATTAATCCAAGCCTTGGAAAAAGCACACAATTTATGTAATAAAAGTCATTGTTCTTCCGAGATTTTATATGATTTATCTACGCTCTTTCACCTTATAAGGTATGATTCTCACTTAATTATAATTTTTTTGTAGTATTGATCAAATTCCATGTTTCTATTTTTTAACCTGCTAAATATTTGCCCAATTTTTATATATATGAGAAAAAGACATAGGATATTTATGCCTAACACCTTTACCTGTTAATATCTAACCCTTAATTTGATCTAAATATTTTTATAAGCTTAGATAATTATATAATACTATCATTTTATTTTAGAAACACTATATACAAATAGAGTATTATGGTGCTAAGACAAATTTCTAAAGACAGAATGTCCTATAGACAAATTGATTATTAGTTTAGTTTTATTAATATTCAATTAAATATAAAGTTATGAATAAAAGAATTATAATATGCTTAATTGTTTTTTTGAAAATTTATGTATAAAATGCTTTAGTTCGAATTCACGACACATCGTATCCAATAAAGACGAAAATAATACAAAAAACAACAATACCACAATACTTGTACTATTGAAGTCCGGAATTATTCTAACTTTTGACCATGCCGGTCAAAAAGATATTTCCTCTAATATATCACAATGCTTGTTAATATAATATTTTATCTTTAGCATCTTAATAAGTTACCAAAATCTAACAATGCGATTAGGAGCTGTCACAGTTCCTTTAATTATAGTAAGAAATAGTCCGTTTTACTATACTATTATTGGTTAAAAATGCAAATCGACAGCATCCTAGTGTCATCGATAACAAGCAGATATAGGATGTGCAACTTCCCAATGAAAAGGCTATAAAATCTAAGATAAAAAATTAATTCTTGGTGATAAATTATCCTATTTTTTAAATATTGTTATGATCGAGAACCTTCGAAACCAAGACAAATATTAAAATCACATTGTGGGACCTCTTTTTAAAATTTATAGGAGCCAGAACCCATTAAAATCTCTAAATAGTGCAAATAATTTTTGTATATTTCTTAAATTTTAGAGGATTTATTTATTGTATAAATATTATTTTATATTTTTTATTAAACAAAATTTGGAACCAGAATTATCAAAAATACGACCAATTTAAGAGCCACAACCTACTTTACAAAATTTTAATAACAGAACCAGACTCAATTTTTTTTAAATCATAGATAACCGGAACTACGATCTATTTTAGTCCAGGTTCCAAATTCTGGTTATAATATAACGTTTTATATTTTTATTTATTAATAAAATTATTCTATTCATAACTAATTAGTCAAACTTTTTTATTAGAGTTCATTAAAACAATTGAATACTTTTTGAAAAAAACACTAAACTAAATCAGTTTTCAATAGGACATTTTGAACGGTCATTAGTATTATACCAAAAAAAGTTTTATTTTATAAATATCGGATAAAACTTTTGAATAAATTTTAAAAAAAAATTGTTAGTTTGATGGATTAAATTGTTCATATTGTAAAAAAATAATAGGACTTTACTGACAGGCTGAGTCGGAAGATTATTTTAATATTTTTTTGAATTAAAAACATTATCCTTCAGCTTAGGGATTGATAAAAGAATTATTTTAATTCTAGGTTTCCTATAATCGCTTTAGGAATATTTAAGTGGGTAAGTAACATACTTCAAGAACCTGGGTATTTTATCAATCGAACAGACAGTTGGAACGCATATCATTTAACCCTGTTGGATGAAATAGTTACTTGTCATTCCGCTTTACACGATCGCATTTTGAAACTTTATATACAACTATTCCAATCTTCTTTCCCTGATTTAGAAGTTTTGATTCAGGTTTAGCTTTAATCGCACATGCAATTTAGAAAATATTTTTATTTTTTTAAATATATGAAGTTGGAATTAAAAAAAAGTTTATTGGAAAGAATGGTGCATTTGTTTTCAAGAGGTTGCGTTATCCCTGTCCTCAGTTTTATTATAAAATGTTGGGAAAAGCAGGATACTGATGTTTCATTAATCCGACATTTCGTACAAGAAGTATTATTCTTGTTCTCTTACATAATTATGCAGACGTATCCTTTAGATTTTAGACATGATATCGCCACCATACCATCCAAATTTTATCAGTATATTTTTGCCAATTATTCAAAACAAAGATATCACAGCTTCCCTCATTAATGATGAGCAATCTGATCCTGTTTCCCTATTCATAAGTACAATAGGCATTCATTATTCAACATTTTTTATTTTAATTTAGATTATTGTACAAAATCGTGAAGATTATTTGTATTATTACGTAATTATGAAAATGATGTATATATTATTATTTGATTGTAATTTATTTATAAATTAAACTAATAAAAACATTTTAATGAAATGACTCATAATGCATTTATGATTTTTATATAATTTTACTTGTTTTAAAGAATGATTCTCACCTTATAAATTTGTATTGCAAATTTGATATTTATGCAATATTCACTAATCTTAAGGCTTTTATATTTTGGTTAGATACTATTTCTTATAGCTTAAAGGAGGCAACACGGTTGGATTTTTCTCTGCTCTCGAAATATTTTTTATTCCCTACCCCGTTAGAGGTTTATCCCTCCATAAAATATAATAGAGGCAAAATAATCTTACCTCCATAAGCATTTATTATCTTCAGGCGATTGTTTAGTAAGAATGAAAGATTGCAACTTTTGAAGGTGTTTGATTATAGAACGGATTTTGCTATAAAATTTAATAAAAAGATAAATGAGCTAAATTTTTAATGTTAATTCTATCGGGTATTTTAAAGTATTCAATAAAATCGGCATTTATTAAAGGAATTTTTCATCATTTTTATATTGAAAAAATTACTTTAAAGTAAAATCATTTTTTGAAAATGTTAACGATTGTCATGCTACTTTCTGAAAAATAGCAGTAGCAAATTTCTAGGGTATTTGATTATTTATATATTTTTTTAAATAAATTATATGATGTTGTATTTACAGCACTGGAATTTTATAAATCAAGCAAAGAAAAAGATTCGGAGGTTATTATTAAGCCACGATTTTTAATATCAATTCAATATGTTTATTTTTTATTTAATTATACATATGATTTTAGCAAAATGCTACAAAAAATTGATTTGAATTTAAGGGAGGTTATGAATAGAACAAAGGATATTTATCAGAGAATATGTGGATGAAATATTTTATGAAATATATGCAAAAGTAAAGGAGATTGCTAATATGTTTGGGATTGAAATTTTTTAAACCTAGAGTAGTTTCTAGACAATCCAATCGCTCAAATATTGATGCATTTACGATTGAGGATTTTTATAAAATAAACTATTTTATTCCTCTTATTATTTCAATTAAAGGAAAGATTTATTAGTCATAATTTTATTTTCAAAAGCTTTTATTTTCTTTTATCGGCTTAGTCTAAACTGTAGATTACACTTGAAACACGAGAGCAGAGTTGTTAAAGGATAGAATCAAAAGATCGCCGATCCTGAATTTGTCAATTTTCCCGGATTTATGATTCTGACTTAAATTGAGGATCGTAATAGAGATCATTTTTTTTAACATTCATCCCGATCCTTTTAAAAATTAATTTGTTACTTAAAAAGCAATAAATAAAATAAAAATTGTGAAAATTAAATTAAAATATTATTTTACACATATTTTATCAACTTCCATTCCACCATATTATATATTTCCACAATTTCCTAAATTTTATCTAGAACGAGATTTAGAGCCTACAAGTTTTATTTATTTAATATAATATAAATAAATTCTAGTCTAGATTCTGACTTAAATTGAGGATCGTAATAGAGATCATTTTTTTTAACATTCATCCCGATCCTTTTAAAAATTAATTTGTTACTTAAAAAGCAATAAATAAAATAAAAATTGTGAAAATTAAATTAAAATATTATTTTACACATATTTTATCAACTTCCATTCCACCATATTATATATTTCCACAATTTCCTAAATTTTATCTAGAACGAGATTTAGAGCCTACAAGTTTTATTTATTTAATATAATATAAATAAATTCTAGTCTATATATATAATAGCCATATTCAAGAAATGAACGTTTTCGTATCTTGGTAATGTTAATTTTTTTTTCTATCAACTTTCCTATCTTCATAACGTTAATTTTTTCACTTTCCTATCTCAATATTTTTTTTCCATCAACTTTCCTATCATCTTAATGTTAAATAAATCGAGGGCTATTATTATCTCGCTAATGTTAAAACTTTTTTTAAAAATTTTTTTATGGCAAAACAGAGATTCGAACTAGCGACCTATCGTTCGGTAGGCAAACGTTCTTACCATTGAGCCCCCCCTTCAATATTATATTTTGATATATTTGTGTATATATATGAAGCTTTATATACTTTGCGCATGCGCCTAATTTTGACGTAATTTTTGAATTTCTCACCAATATATTTTTACCGTCATTCAATTAATTATACCGCCAACAATATTGGAATCTCTTGAAATGACATTAGCTACCCATTTTTATCATGCTTCCTTCATTATTGATTAAAATTTCATAAAAGTAATTATTAAAATTTAGATCTTATAACTATTCTTTATATTATATTTAGCTATTTGACAAACAAAAATAAATCTCACAATACACCCTGACATTAGCTACCCATTTTTATCATGCTTCCTTCATTCTTGATTAAAATTTCATAAAAGTAATTATTAAAATTTAGATCTTATAACTATTCTTTAAATTATATTTAGCTATTTGACAAACAAAAATAAATCTCACAATACACCCTGACATTAGCTACCCATTTTTATCATGCTTCCTTCATTCTTGATTAAAATTTTATAAAAGTAATTATTAAAATTTAGATCTTATAACTATTCTTTAAATTATATTTAGCTATTTGACAAACAAAAATAAATCTCACAATACACCCCAAACAATATTGGAATCTCTTAAAATGACATTAGCTACCCATTTTTATCATGCTTCCTTCATTCTTGATTAAAATTTCATAAAAGTAATTATTAAATTTTAGATCTTATAACTATTCTTTAAATTATATTTAGCTATTTGACAAACAAAAATAAATCTCACAATACACCCCAAACAATATTGGAATCTCTTAAAATGACATTAGCTACCCATTTTTATCATGCTTCCTTCATTCTTGATTAAAATTTCATAAAAGTAATTATTAAAATTTAGATCTTATGATCAGGCCGAGCCCAGGCCTGCAATAAAATTTGTTTTAGTTCAATGTCTGACTCATAGTTAATAATAAAAAAATTCCCAAGCCCAGCCCCATAATTCATTTAAAAATACAATCAGAATATGAAAGTCGCATAGGCCTTGGTTTTTTGATAAGGCCTGGCCATGTCTGCGAAAAAAAATTTCCCGGCCAATGTTATCTCTATTTTAAATTTTACTTAATATGATATCTATCACAATTTTAAATTTTATTCTAAAATCTAAATATAAAATTTAATTTAAGACATTGTTATTAAATTACAATAGAAATAAATGGAATATAAAATTAAATTTAAGAAATTGTTATTAAATTACAATAAAAAATAAATGAAAATTATATAAAAGTTGCATTGGACTTGGTTTTTTGATCAGGCCTGGCTATGTCTGCAAAAAAAAATATCAGGCCAATGTCTATATGTCTATATCCCATATTTAAAATTAAAAAATTTTCAAGAATCTCTATTTTAAATTTTACCCAGATATTTCTAATACCCATAATGCTCGCGGGTTACATTGCAACAATTTTACCTCTTTTTCTCTTAAATTTTAATATTTTTATAAAATATATTAATAAAGCATATTTCTTATCATATACACCTAACTAATTAGTAATTACCCACAATAGAAATAAATGGAATATTAAAATTAAATTTAAGACATTGTTATTAAATCAAAATAAAAAAAATGAAAGTTGCATGGGACTTGGTTTTTTGATCAGGCCTGGCTATGTTTGTAAAAAAAAATTTTCAGACCAATATCTATATCCCATATTTAAAATTAAATTTTCAAGGATCTCTATTTTAAATTTTAGCCAATATGATTTCTATCACAATTTAAATTTTGATATTTCTTATACCCTTAATGTTCACGTGTTACATTGTAACAATTTTACCTCTTTTTCTCCTAAATTTGAATATTTTTATAAAATATATTAATAAAGCATATTTAGTATCATATACACCTAACTTAATAATTGCCCATCAACCCGTCATTCTAATTAAATTAAGTTAATTTTATAAAAAAAAGTTTCATATATATACAAATATATCAAAATATAATATTGAAGGGGGGGGGGGGGCTTAATGGAAAAAAGTTTGTCTTCCGAACGATAGGTTGCGAGTTCGAATCCCAGTGTTGCCATAAAAAAATTTTTACATTAACGAGATAATAATAGCTCTCAATTTATTTAACATTAAGATGATTGATAGGAAAGGTGATAGAAAAAAGATATTTTAACATTAGGAGATAGGAAAGTGAAAAAATTAACGTTAAGATGATAGGAAAGTTGATAGAAAAAAAATTAACATTACCAAGATACGAAAACGTTCATTTCTAGATTTAGGAATTTTTTTGTGTTACCAGTTATTTGAAAATAATATTTAATTTTTATTCTATGTAACGTTAATAAATAGAATACTATGGAAAATAGACAATCTCCCAAACAATTAAAGGAAAGTATCCGCAAATTACGGAATCACATAAAATCCAAATATAATAATCCTAAATTAGTTTCATTAACTACAACTCATAATCCTAATTCAAATTTATATCTCCCAATTGATTTATCAATTAAAACTGCTATGATTAGCGCATGCATAAGCCGTTTTCATCAAAAAATTAAACAAATCTTCCCTACCTCTTACACTTCTATTTTGGGAAATAGAAAAAGATTAAACATAACAAAAGAAGTTTTATTTTCCAATAATTTAGATAAAATATTTTTATTTTAAGGAAAGTGGTCGTAAAGTGCGAAGTCATATAAAATCCAAGAAACCCAAACCTATAGTAGCTTTAGTACCTACACCTCAAAGTATTAATTTAAATAAACCTTTTCCTATTGATATATCAACTAAAACTGCTAGGATGCGGGCATGTGCTGCCCGTTTTCGTCTAAAGCTTAAACAGATTTTCCCCACCACCTATACATCTATTCTTAAAAATAGAAGTAATTTAACACATTTTAATACTAATGATATTCACTTAATAACTGAACATACTTGCGGGCCTATGAATATCATATGTCAATTTTGTTTTTCCATGAATTTCATAGCTGAGAGACCGACCGACGGTAAATTCACACAGTGCTGTCATAAAGGGAAGGTTATCCTTA